TAAGAATCCACCAGGCCTGAATGAGATCAGGATTTCTTAAAGCTTCCAACCCAAGTGTGAACCTATTATGACATCACCCCTTGGTTTGTGGAGTACCATTTTGAAGCCTTGACAGTTCGACGGAGCAAGTGCGAGCCAGGTACCTGGTATCTGTGTGTTATTGCAGCCAATGGTGCTCCCCGTGCTGGCCTTAATATAGAATGCAGGACACTTCTGCGTTGGCTTCACTTTTTAGACCTGGAAACTCTGTCCACTATATATACTGTCAATGCTCCAACCCAAATCATCTTTATATCTTTCTCAATGGTGCAACTGGGCAAATATTATGGGAACCTGTTTTTCTTTGGGCACTTTTTTCTCTTAAATGAAGTATTTTTATATTTTTATGTTTCAAGTCTCTAAAATCTTCGTAGTCAATCAGTGATACAACTGGGGTAACTATAAATTACAATCAGTAAAAAGAGCCAACTCCAATTCCTTCCTTGTTGTATCATCTTCCAAAAATGTGATAAGGAAAACATTTTTTTTTTAACTTTTATTTCCTATTGCAGTTAGCCTATTGCAAAACCACTGGTATAGACCAAACTCGTTATAAAATTAAATAAAAATGATTTCCACATCAAAACTCCACTGTCAGTCACACTCTGGTCCTACATGTGTTAAAGCAGTGTAGTGTCTACTGTCTTCTGTCCTGTACCATCAGACCACTAGTGGCCAGCTCGGGCAGCGTCATGGAGGCTGGGGTGGTGAGGCGGTTCCGTGCTCGCGTCAGCTGGAGCATCACTGCATCCATGAGCTACAGCAGTAACAGAAACAGGAAGCTAGTATCACTGACACAGTAAAGGGCCATGATCTGATCCATGTTCAGCTCTGTACTGGCTGGATGTGATTACAGCGAGGAGACAGAGGACAGACCTTATTAACCTCAGCACCTGTCTTGAAATGGTAGCTCTCATCGTGGCTGCTCAGCAGCTGGAGAGCCTGGTTCACATGGTTCCTAGCATCCTGGATCTGATGAATAAACAGAGACATGAGATAATAATACATAATAAATAATAATACAAGTTAGCAAAGATAAGAAGTTATGTCAGACTGTGCTAGACATCATTTATCAATATGCAGTGAAATGTGCTAAACGAATGTGCCCAGAATGTGTGTTAAATGATATTTTGACCTACAATATCATTAGGCTCTGCAGTGCATATCAGGCAGGTGACACCACTCTCTAACCCTGATCTAACCTACATTTAAACTGCCTTTAAATCCCACACTCACCCTAACAAAGAGCACACACTCAGCTGCTTAATCCAGCCTTATATCTATATTCTATTTTATAGCAAAACTACAATGGCAAGCCCCATCAGCTAACAACAACCAAGTAAGATACACCTTAAGCTAACAAGCATGTTGCCATCAATGGACAACTATCTCATGTAAGCAAGCAACAAAGCATATATTCCTGTCTACAACATCAGTAGCTAACAACATGTTAGCTAACAACAACCAGGTACCAACATGTAAAGCTAACTAGCATGTTGCCATCAATGGACAGCTATCTCATGTTAGCGAGCAACAAAAAAATGGTAAATGGGCTGTACTTATATAGCGCCATTCTAGTTTTTCTACCACTCAATGCGCTGTACACTACACGTTACACTGACCCCATTCACACACATTCATACACTGCCATTAGTGTAGTAGTAGTGTGCAGTGATGGCTGCCGTGCAAGGTGCCAACTAATCATTCATATGCACAGATCAGGAGCAATTTGGGGTTCAGTATCTTGCTCAAGGACACTTCAACATGCAGCGAGAGGAGCCGGGGATCGAACCGCCAACCTTCCGATTAGTGAATGACCCGCTCTACCTCTGAGCCACAGCTGCCCGAGCAAACGAGAACAAAGCATACAAAGCAAAAATTGATAGGAAAATGTATTTGTTTATGTAGTTTTACACTGTCTCCTTATGAGAGAAAAAAGAATCACACAATCCTCACAGCTACAGCCATGTAGCAACATGATATCTCAGTTTAGTTCCCCTTGTTGTGATAGTGTTACTAACACAGAGTACCTGCTGCAGTTTCCACTGCTTGTCCTCTCTGAACTGAAAGTGTAGCGCTTGACTGCTCTTCGCAATCTTCAGGTTTATGTCCTGTTAAGAGAAGCAAAACATTAACGAGGAACACATTCTCTTAAACCAATGTTTTATTTTTACATGAGGGGGACAAACTCACAGCCTGAGTCAGAGCCTCTCCCTGCAGAGTCAGCACGCCCTTCACTTGATCCATGCTGCAAAACAACACATCGCACTTTTATTTCAACATTGCCTGAGGAACAACAGGAGACAAATTATGACAAGAAAATGCTTTACAGTGTGTGAAAGAGGGCACCTGATCTAAAAGATAACAACATGAAGGAAATGACAAACAATCATTTACTGTGTCAGCATATTTGACACCATCTGATACTGAGCATCTGACAACCACTTCCGCCTCAGGAAGACATTGTTATGTAACAGACAGGGCCTACAAGCTAACCATTGTAATGGATTCATTGTGGCTACAGCTGTATGCAAAGGTTTGGGCACACCTTGACAATTAACATATTTTGGTGATTTTTTTGATTGAAAAGATATAAACACAGACTCTAGGGTATGAAACATAAAATACAATATTTTCAGCAAACATTCATGCAAAGTTTACAGGGTCTCAGACCTTCATCAGCTCGTTAGGCCTGAGACATGTCAACAATTGTGATAAGGAAACGTCAGCTGGTGCCAATTTCAAAGCTTTACAAACACTCTGTCTCTTCTGAACACTCAGCAACCATGGGTTCCTGTGAGCAGCTGTGGATGACTGAAAATGAATGTTACTGATGCCCACTGAAGCAAGAGAAGACAATAGCAAAGTGTTATCAGCTAGTTTTCACAGTGTGAAATGTAATTGAGAAATAGCTCCATTTGAATACAACAAACCTGCAGGAAGATTTAGTAGACTCAGGAGTCAGAGTCAGTAGAAGAAAACCTTACCTGCACCCACATCATAGATACAGAACCCTGATGTGTTTTGGGAACAAGTGCTGTGAACTGATGAAGTTAACAAATAACTCGTTGGCCACAATCAACAAAGTGAAGTTTGGAGAAAAAAGGAGCAGCATTTCATTAAAAGCACACCTTGCTAACTGTTAAGCATGGGGGTGGATCTATCATGCGTTGGGGTTGTGTTGCACAGGAAACATTGCACGTTGGTGGCTGAGGCAGAGCGGGTCGTCCCCCAATCGGAAGGTTGTTGGTTCGATCCCAAATTGCTCCGATGTGCATCGTGTGGTGGAATGTGTAAATGAATGAGTTAGTTTCTGTTCGATGGCTTTTGCCATCGGAATGTGTGTGAAAGGGTGAATGCTTTGAGTGGTCGGAAGACTAGAAAGGCGCTATACAAGTACAGGTCCATTTAGTAAGTAAGTAAATTTAATTTATAAAGCACATTTAAACACAGTATAAACTGACCAAAGTGCTGTACAGTGGATGACTAAAAAAGGCAAATAATACAGAAAAACACATTGGTAAATAACTAAAAAGACAAATAATACAGAAAAACACATTTGACCAATAGTCAATAATCTATAAAACAGAATAAGAAAACCTTTTACATGTAAAGAACTATAATATGTCTATTTGTCAGGGCCCAACCTTTTTGCATAACAAACCGTATAGTAACCGTACCCAATCAGGAGAGGGGTTGATTACGGTTTGAGCTGCCGAGGATGAAATTTTCCTGCTTGTGCTGGCTCGGCTCTTCCAGACCTGCGTTGCATGAGAAACGTCCTAGAGCCTCCTGTTGGCAGGAGAAAACGTACAATTAGTAATCCAATCATAATCGCTCACTGAAGATGCATCATTTCAGCGTGTGGATTAGCTAGATTCTACAGATGAACTGGTTTGCTCATCCAATAATTGTGTACTCTGGTCACGGACTGGAGCTAGATGCGATTTATCCAACATGTAAGAACTGATTTTAGTTCAGCTCGCTGTTTCCTCCCATCTTTAATTACTGCAGTTCTCCCATTCACCCTGCCTTAGCGAGACATCCCTGGAGCTTACAAGTGGGCCAAACAAGGCTGCCGCCACCAATTCTGACACATTACTATACAAAGGTCTCAGTGTGAACATTCAATTTAGATTTTTCACACTGGGCGCGTTTCCTATTCAAATTCAAAATCAAGTATAATTCAAGTCTTGATAACATTTAGAAGCTTTATGCATGGTCAACAACCTGGCCAACTCTCTCAAGGGACAAAAGGAGCGTAGGTTGCTGAACTTTTAAAACTCTTCACCATTAGGATTTAAGATCTTTGGGCCCTTTAAAAACCAGCTCTAGGCCTGCTCTGTCTAGACGTTGATTTTGTTTAGTTCTGCTGCTCATGTGACAGTGCTTGAATTTAATTCAATGATAGCTGATGCATGAATAAGAACAACACCTGCGGACACAAAGGATACTGGACCGATTTATTTATCATTTTCTTTATTATCAGGTTCAAATTGGATAAAATCCAGTAGACACCAGCATGAAACTCTTACACTACATCACACGCTGCACTTACATTACTGTGAGATGGCCAATCTTAGGAAAGTTATACTAACCCTTCTTGACCTGGTCATTGTAAAACCATTACACAACTGTTAAAAGACGCATTATCATGCACGTATTAACCTATAACCCGTTTCTAATACTACTTAAATGTCAGTAACCGAGCGGGATGTTTGAGACTTCACAGAGAAGCCAAGACATTTCAATTCCAATCAAGATTTATTGTTGTATACGCCACATTCATAACAGAAGTTATCTCAGCGACACTTTTCAAATAGAGCCGGTCTATTAGGACGAACTCGATTTAAACATTATTTACACGAGACCCAACAGTACCACCATGAAGCCAAGCCTTGGCAACAAGGCAGGAAAAATGCCTTTTAACAGCAAGAAACCCTAGGACAGATCCTTCGGCTCGTAGGTGGGGTGGTCGCTCTGTCTCGATCAGTGGGGGTGAGAGGAGAGAGAAAAAGACGAGAGAAGAGAGAGAGCGT